ACGTCGTCGAGCTTCTGGCCAGCAGGAATCAAGCCTTCCTCGCTGTACTGTTCAACAAAAGAGGTGATGCTCTGGCTGACGTTAAACTTGTGCGGATAGGGATTGGGGGACTGAGTCTCCTTGAGCTTCTGGATCGTACGAGCACGCATCTCAAAATATTGCTGCATTGTGTCAGGATCAGTGCTCAATTGCTAGCAGAGATGACTCACATTTGGGTTCAGGTCATCCTCATTTGCGGCTGCAGGCTTAGATGCAGCTTGGGGTGGTGCGGCAGCGGCCTTCTCGGCCTTCTTCGCATCCCTTTCACGCTGTTTCTCGCGACGCTTCAGCTCACTGTGCAATCTGTGAGTGCGCAGATATGATCATGATCATAAGTAACTCGACACGCACGTCTTGGAAATCATCTCTCCCGTAACGGGATCCTTGTGAGTTGCTGCGGGGCTATCTGACGCCATGTTTCTAAACAAGATAATGGGAGGTTTTGTTGGTCTGACTGGATATCTTGATGGTATCTGACGCAGAGAATCAAGGAATTTTAATCTTTGCATGTAACATTTTTGGGTCAGGTCGATTCTTGAAACGAGTCAAGCATCACGTGACAGTTATGCCAATGCCGGAACTTCAAAATGACTTAGCAATGCCGTAATGCCGATTAGTCATGTGACTGATTACATAATAAGATAATCCGCTTTGGTAATGCTTACAGGGTATGCTAATCGATGCAGACCGGCCCACGCCGCAAACATCACCTTCGACATCGCCCACAACAACGACAATGTCTTCCGACTACGATTATTCAGACGAAGAGGACGCTTTCTACGACGACGATGAGGACATGATCAGCACAGGTGATGATGGTGTGTTACCCTTCTTGTTATGGCTCATTCGATCACCGACAACATCGCAGGTTCAGCACCCAGTGATGATGATATGGACATGGAGTTTGCGGACGACTTTAAAGTCCCTCAACATTCACTTCGAAAGGCGTACGAAATCGAACATGAGTCACTTTCCCAGCAAGCGGTGGAGAAGCTTTCGGCCGCTGATGTGGACCACATATCAAGTATATTCGGCGTCGATGTCCGTATGAATATCTTAAGTTTGATTTCGTACTGATGATTCTGTTCTGCAATTCTTCTTCGTGATGTATAGGACAGTACAGCTTCCTTATTGCTGCGTAACATGAATTGGAATAAGGAACGCCTCATCGAGAAGTACATGGACAATGCATCCTCCGTTTCTGTCGCAGCTGGTATATCAACTCCTTCCCGCGCCTCTCCCTCTGCAACGGGTCCTGCACCCATCCGCTCATCAGGCAGCCGTCGCAGAACAACTCGGCTGACACCAGGTACGTCACTCGTAACTGATACATCTAATTCACCTTACCTCACGTGCCTAGTTCCCAAGGCCGAACCTTGGGTTTGCCCTATTTGTTTCGACGACTGTCAGACGTCATTCCTCTCACTATCGTGCGACCATTCCTTCTGTGCAGGTTGCTGGGCGGCATATGTAACCTCCAAGATTCGTGAGGAGGGCGAGCATTCTATCCGTTGCATGGCTGAAGGCTGTGCACTTGTCGCACCTGACCCCTTCATTATATCTACTTTAGCAAAGCATGGTCAGGATGAAGATGGGCGGACTCGGGAGCGATTCCAAGAATTGCTCGTCCGGCACTTTGTTGGTGCCAACTCGCACCTGAAATATTGTCCTTATCCATCGTGCACTTACACCGTCTCGTGCCCTTCTGCTTCCTCCCGTTCATCCCTCACAACTATGGTGCCAACCGTCAGTTGCGGTGCAAATCATAAGTTCTGCTTTGGGTGCTCTATCGACAGCGACCATCGCCCAGTCATTTGTCCCGTCGCCAAGATGTGGTTGAAGAAGTGTAGGGATGACAGCGAAACTGCAAATTGGATCAAGAGTAACACAAAGGAGTGTAGTAAGTGCCAGAGTACTATAGAGAAAAATGGTGGTTGCAAGTGCGTGTCTCATTTCGGGGAATATGAGGTTACGCTGACTGTTTTGTCAGCCACATGACTTGCAAGAAATGCAAGTACGAATTCTGTTGGGTGTGCATGGGTTCGTGTCTCATACATCCGCCTCGTTTGATCCTGACATCCTGTTCTACATAGGCCCCTGGTCCGAACATGGCACAGCGTGGTACTCATGCAATCGCTACGACGAGAAGGCCGGTGTGGACGCCCGTGATGCGCAATCTAGGTCCCGTGCTTCCCTAGAGCGCTACCTCCACTACTACAACCGGTGGGCGAACCACGAGCAGTCCGCGAAACTATCTGTCGAGATGTACAATAAGACCGAGAAGAAAATGGAGGAGATGCAGATAACGTCCTCGCTCACTTGGATTGAGGTGCAATTCATGAAGCGCGCTGTAGAAGAGGCAGAACGATGCCGCGCAACGCTAAAATGGACATACGCAATGGCGTTTTATCTGGACAAGGGAAATGAGAAAGAACTGTTCGAGGATAACCAGAGGTGAGACATTCGATCTGGGTTTCTCCCCTACTCTATCATATTCCACGGATCTGTCTCAATCGTTTTACTGTAGGGATTTGGAAAAAGCGGTTGAGGATTTATCGGAGCTGCTTGAATCACCAATTGATCCAGAAGCAATCTCGACTTTGCGGCAGAAGGTGACTGATAAGACGGTGCGCTGTTGCTCTACATATTGCTATTGTATCCTCGTCCTCATTCGTTCGTCAGGTCTATGTCGCGAAACGCAACGAGATATTATTGGAGGACACTTCAAATGGTTTTGCGGAAGGGCGCTGGAAGTGGAATATTGCGGTTGAGGGATTTGAGTAGATGCCAGTCATTTTCCCCTGGGACTGAGATTGCGCACTACAATTTGCACCTTCTCTCCAACGTAGCACAATATCGTCATTCCCCTTCCACACTTACTCTACCCATAAGATATCCAACATCGTAAAATCGCTGTATTTCTTAGACATTATCCGGACTATGAAGTGTACAGTAATTTAAGAATTAAGCTGAAACTTGGCAAGATTTAGTCTCACCTGGTCAGACCTTGATTAATGGAGAAGAAAAACAGTCCGGTGACGATAGTCGAGGTTATGCCCGTTCGAACATTTCATGGAGTTGAGTCTTGTGCAGTGATCAGGAAACCCACAGCCGAGCAAAAGTGACTGTAGTACAGCGCTTCTTTCCAAATTCGACTAGGGAGACGTAATTCACTACAGAGAGCTATAGTACAGACTGCTCTGCAGCACTCTGTAGTACAATTCAACCTGCTGATCTAGTAGCAGCCCGTAGCATTGATAGGTTCTCCCGTATTTAAAAGTAGCTCTCTCCCTTTGAACTCAAATACTATTGTCTACAAACCTACCCTTAGTAGACTTAGCTTGAAGTTAGCAAGGGTCCCACCAGATTACCCACATGGATGGCCTTGGTCATAAGCGCAAGCACGCGTATTTGTATCCGGAAGTGAAGGCTCAAGTTCTGACTAGTTGAGCCGATCATGATTTTGTGTATTCCATAGCTGCCCAGATGAGTTTCTCTACCACACCTGTAGTTCTTTTGATACTTGTTAGAATTCTGATATGTGACGTTCTCATGCAATTGATTCATTGCCCCTAATACCTTGTTGACATTTGTGTGTCAGTGAGTACACGAGTTGGAAAGTTTGTTTCATTGCCATGCTACGAGGCGATTCTGTAGTAGCGACCAACTACAGTATTGCTACTTTCCTACCGCGCTTTCTGTTAGTACAGAGTACTTCCAAGGTAAATCTGACCTACTGACGCACAAGCAGGATGCCCGATGCCAGGCCACTCTCCACTACGAAACTAAAGAAGTTCGAATTTCGGACCACTGACCGACCTGGTGAACTACTCCGACACCGACCTAGCGCTGCGATAAGCGCAAATGACCCAGGGCAGCTCAATTCGGCAGACCTCTTGACGCCTGTGGGTGGACAGTAGAAATGCCAGGAGTCCCAGACAGACCCGAGTCGTCTAGTAATGGAATATATTCCATCGCAGATCGTCAGCAAGGCCCAATCCTAAAGTTATTCCTGGCGGAAGTACGTATCGAACTACCGCCGTGTATGGGCATCCCCACGACTTTTGAGCTCCATCGAGCTGCTCCGGTGCTCCGTCCCCCAGTTATTCTTCTTGATGCATGTCTCTCAACAACTTTGCCAGCCTGTACGACAGATTCAGACAGCGGGGCGTCTTATCTGATTTGAAAGAGGCCTTCGAGCTATGTCGAGTTGTACTAGCGCTCTTTCTCACCAACCATCCTGAACAATGGATGTCTCTCAACAACCTTGCAAATAGCATTCAAACCAGCCTATTCCAGCAGCAGGGCATGCTGTCTGACCCGTCTGAGACCATCAAGCTCTCAAGCGGCACTGGCGCTCTGTCCCCCCAGTCACTCCCTTTGATCCTCATTTCTCCACAACCATACCAACGGCATTCAATACGGATTCTAGCAGCTGGATATCTGTCCAACTTGTATGAGGCTGTCGAGCTCCATTGAGCTGCGTTGGCGTTCCGTCCCTCTGGCCATTCTGCTTGGTGTTCATATCTCAACGACCTTGTCCTTCGAGACATATTCGAGCAGCAACTTCCCCCGACTTTAAATCATAGGACCACCCTCACAATAAACCTTTTCAATGGACAACACGACTAACCTTTTCATGTTGCAGATCGGCAGCCTTTCTGCTCTTTCCATAATTCCGATTTTCATGCATTCATCGTTCATAGATGATAAAACCGTGAGGTTCACGTTCAAGTTAGCGCCAATTCGAGAGCACGCAAAATTTTGAGACATGTTCAGAGGCGCCCGACTGCTACCCTCGTCGATGGTTACGAGTGCGGTGATCCATGCGCTACGGGGAACCATCGCTACTTCTGCATTATTGTCTTTCTATATATTAATGCGATGAGGAGATTTGCCAGAACGCGGTTACCATCCGTGGTCACAATCTCGGTATCAGCGTCGGCAATGCCTTGAGTGTCATGCCCGAACTGGGCGTCGTTAATGAACAGGAGTTCGACACCATGGACCGGGCTATCTATGAAGCCGGATGGTGGTCTTGCCCCACTAATCAACAACCACGTGAGTTCACTTGGTGTGAGCCGGCATCTGCACTTGCTGATAGCTTCTACGCATAGAATTACTACCATGGTGGCAAATATACCTTCCTCCGCTGCGCTGGATTCGATATCACCAGATACGACCCCACCAACCCCGAGGTCGTGCAATTCTATACTAACCAAATTATCATCGACTTCACAGCCTCACATACGCCGAGGATCCCGCGATCTTTGCTTATGAGACCGGTAATTAGCTCGGTGGACCTATTTTTGGAGACATGTGGGTCCTGAATGAATGAACAGAGCAGATTGCGGTATGTCCGTTTCTTTGTTCGGTGGCTTTGACCCTTGCGCCTGTGGACATACAGTCGTATGTCAAGGAGCTTGCCCCCACCAAACTTGTCATTGACAGTACTTACAGCATCAATGCAATGCACCTCTCCATCCCCACTATCGACATCTTCTCCGATCACTTCTATCCACCTGACATCGCGGAGCTGCAAAGTGACATCAGCGTCGACCAATCCGTGAACAACGCATACATCGCTGGAGAATAGGATTAGACCGGAAACAACGCTTCCTCTTCGTCACTTCTAGATTTCTTCAGTTCGATCGAAGCTAGCCCTATCGTAAGTGGGATCTTTTCTGGAGCTTGTTCATGCATGACGTAGCGAGACGTTGTAGTATCTAGGTAACCCGGAAAACACCGTGCAAACTGATACACTGATCTCGGAGATTAGGCAGCATCTCTTCAGGATGCAGGGACAGAATGTTTCATCGTACCTTCCTCCAGTGCTTTGTCCTGGCCACTAAGCAGAGGTAGTGTAACTGAATCAAGACTCTCATCCGCTTAACTGTTACGCCAAAAGGCAACGATACTGAAAGCTTGTGTTTCAGTATCGCGGACAAGATTATGGGAAATCTAGTAAGCCAGGGTGCTTACAGGTAGACATTATAATCCATGGACTTAATATTGATAGAATGATTTTATCATACTTGCTGTTAAAGACTTTAGAAAAACTGAGCGCGCTGTGGACCTGATGAATGGCCGGTCTGGCGAGCTTGCACAAAGTTTGATAAGTGCTATACTACGAATTAAGTCCTTAACTCAGGTGTCATCGTATAAGACATCGGACTATAATTGTATACGAAGATATCCAAACTGTGAGAATATTGTTAACGATAACATCGATGGGCCCAGCACGAAAGTCTGTCAACACAAAAGACTAGTATCAGAAAATCAATGCGTATGCAGTGGATGACGCATCTATCCGCGATGCAGAGAGCGCCCTGTGGGTATTATGTATATGGCCAGCTAGTCCAAAATAGAGTAAGGAAATCCCGTAGAATAACGAAAGCATGGTAATGTGAGTGGTATGTACGAGGGTCGCAGCGATGATATATATTGGTCATATTATCGATTGCGGGGAATAGAGACACGAGGGTGGGATGGAATGAGGTTCACCACTCGAGAAGGGGTTCTACCATAATGTTCCGCTCTACAGTGACCGAGCTGGTGTATGAAAGTGTCTGTGCTGCAATTGCCCATGCGTCATGATCTCATCACATTCATAACTATTATCGCGCATACGGGGACTGCCCACCGTATGCTGCTGGCTGCTGGTACGGTGACTGACGGCCTGAGTACGGCGTCGGCGAATTAGGCGCATCAAAATAGGCCTTTTCTTGTACTATGCTAACACCGATGCCACCAGCGTCCGTGGCAGCTGTCGCTTGCGTCGGGTCGCCAATGCCTGCACGAGTTCCCCATGCAGTTTCATGGAGCGTGAAAAGGGCGTAAAGCTTCATGATCGCAAAATAGTACCCGAAGAGGATGAACGCAGGAACGTAGATGATGTGACTGGGCGTATGCCAGAGATGCGGAAGGAGCTTAGCGGTACGGGTTGCGAGAAGCCATACGAGGTATGAGAGGATAATGTTCCACCAAGGCAGATGGTATCCTCCATCTGCAACTGCAATGGTACTTTTCCAGACAAGATACCCGACAAGGCAGGGTCCTACTAGAAGAGTGAAGGGGTTAAAGAGCTTGTCAACCTGTGAACAAGATAAGAATAAATCAAAGCACACAAGATGACGGCATCAACCCACCATGGTATATGCGACATATGGATGTGTGGTCCAAATATATCGTTCCATGAATAATGACCGGAGATCACTTCTCCAGGTATTTCGGGTCCATCGTAACACCTGTTTCAAGAACCTCCAATTCGGCTTCATCGTGCTCAACAACTCTGCCTCTTTGCAGCACTGGACATAGGTACTCCATCCATGGCTCACCATCCACCTCGTCAAGAATTTGTCATCGCCCGAGTTGAGCTGGTACTTGCCCAGCCAGAAGTCGTGCGTGAAACCATGTAGGAACTCTGGGTCTTTGAGGATGACCGTTCGGTAGGCAGCTGTACGGCCCGAGAGACATGGAAGACCACCATCGATGTGTGTGCTGGAGCTAATTTCGATGTTACGGATTGTCAGACGGAATGCCGCGAGGACTTCCCAGACTGTCATGCTTTTTCCTACGGGTTGGACGCGTTGACTCGTGCCTACGCCCCCAACCTTCTGGTCTTCAAAACATGCAAGCACATATGGCAAGAGCGTCGGTGGCCAAATGGCATCGTCATCTGCAAAGACAATGATGTCTGTCGTGGTATTCTTAATGCCATGTGCCATCTGCAACCGCTTATTCGCGAAAGGGACGGTAAGGACGCGAATATGATCCGGGTCAACAGCGTTGGCAAGTTCTTGGAGAGGAATAAGCATTTTCTCTTCGGTGATGATGATGATTTCTTTGGGTTTGCCAGCTAGCCAACTGTTGGCTGCTTCTTTGAATTCTTCACCGGCATCGATGGTAGGTACAATGATAGTGACATCTTCCGAGGCCACGTAAGTGGGGTTTTCGGGGAGAGGAACGGGGCGGTAGGTGACAGAAGCAATGATACGGATGATGTACCACAGGTAGCGGTAGAAGCTAGAAAGTCGTTAGCTTGCTTCAAGATATAGAAAGAAAAAAGGAACACACCCGATGACTCCGAATGGCACGACTGTAAAATAAGGTTAGCATGCATGGACAGTCAACGTGTTGTACACCGAGGACACGTACAGATTGGAAAGGCATCAGACGTCAAGTAGAGCATGGTGGCAGTCTACTGCACCTGCCGTCAAGAGAGTAGTGAGGCCAAATGAGCGGCAGCGTCGTAGCTACGACGACGAAGAAGAAGGCCTCCAAAAGAGAGAGAGAGAAGGAAAGAGAGAAAGAATGAGGAACGTTGGTAGGTTATTACATAGGTGGCCAAAGCATACGCGCCAGAAGTATTGTCGGGGTTCGAAATATTATTGAAACAACTTGAAGCTTATTACACTTTTATTACGCTTGATTATTATTTTCGGTACTCGAAGCAAACTCGAAGCTCGCGCGTATTCAATAGTAGTGAAGGAGACCCGACCTCCAGAGTTAGCAACACTATCAATGGTTCAAACAAAGTCCAGGTATATGCGCGGAGCGACACTCGTCTTTTTTTTTATCTGATTGACCTGACCGAGTTTAGACCGAGTTGGAATAATCCGAATAAGTGGTCGACAACTCACAGACTGGCTCGACCCGAAGTCGGAAGACTTACTAGTGCGGCCGCGGCCATCAAGCTATTTTATTAATGACAAGACGTGGAAATTATACTGTTACAAAAGTGGCTCAAAGCTAGCGCAGGTGACCTGTCGAGATCTCCCGCTACACACACTGACTGCTGCCAGGGCACACCATAGATCATCTCACCTTCAGCGGAAGGTACCTGATAGAGATATAAGATCTCCGTGTGCTTAGGCTTTGATCCAAAAGTGATACAAAATGAAAGGCTTCGCCTTGTTTGCCTCGAGAATCGATAGCAATTCTGCATCGTAACCATATATTTCATCGCACCGCACGCACCGTAGTATTTCAAATTTCATCGCCAGCCTTCAGCTCAGCGCATTCTATACCCCAAAATTCTGCCACCGCATCAGAAACCCCGCACCAACAAAGCCCCCCCACTCCACGTCACTGCTTCTGGTCCGTTTCTCGAATAACCAAAGTATAGCTTCGACACCATGGCTATTCAACCCGATATTCAAATGATCCAAATCCTCTATCCTATACCTATCGCCTCAAGAAAGTAAGAAGTTCACATCCATGACATGGCATCACTGACATGTATCGGATAATTCCATGATTTTGCTTGCAGAACTTTCCACGGACCCGCACTTTGTCCACACCGCATTCGTGAGTGTTCAGGTTGACACGTGTATGTGGTAAGTACCGCCTATGGGAAACTCGAGCACTTTATCTGCCTAGCATAGCCTAGCCTTGCTTGTCTATGAAGTAATGTTGAACACGCTTTACGATGGGATAACTCCGAGTCATAGCACACGTTTAAAGCTAAAAAAAAATGTCTTGAAGGAGAGCTTGCCTGGCCAACCAAATTCGGCCGGTGTCGCACGTTCAGTTCAGGCCAATCCAGGCCTTCTGTAAAGCGGCGTACTCCTATGATATTTCGTCGAGCAGGTGAGACGTTGGTTTGTTTATGGTTGGAGTTGTGACCGCGGGATCAATTCCAAATTAAATCGGGTTATTTGGTATTAGCCTCCGGGCCAAACAACATTTTCTTTGTGGTTTACCTTTTATGGAAGGAACGAGTTTTTACTCTCGTTACACATGTGATTCACTAATCCCATATATCAACTATTCGCTTTGCTATCAAATCATTGAAGAACCATGCATCACAACTCGGAACAAATGTTACTCGGATGCCGATGCCCGAATATCTCTGTAGTAATAACGCTGTTGTAATGTCATATGAGATTGACCGGAAGTATCAAGTAATTTACCATGATCAGCCCCTCGGCGACCCGGCGGGAACAAACCATAATACAAATCAAATGGCTGAGATCTGTGATTTGACTTTCTCAGTACAACTGTACACTACCCAACAACTACATCCCGTAAAAACTTGTAATAGTACGCGAAAAAAACCGTGCGTTAAAATACGAAAAATTAAAACATACCTAACAACGAAGTGAAAACATGCGGGGGACTCGACCACACTACCGTGAAAAGGTACAGTGATACATACAGTAAAGTAGAAGTATGAGAGGAAATTGAAAGATGTGGAGTACAACACGGGGTGCGATGAAATTGAGATGATACCATGCAAAAGTCCAATAGAGAGTCGAGCGTGATGGCGATGACGAAAACATATCAGAGAGTGTAGACGGTCAAAATACAATGACGACGAGTAAGGACAGTGGTGACCGCGTAGCTGGTAAACGCGGAAGATTGGATGGGCATCGAGTCAACACAAAAGGAGTTAAGAACCGTAAGGGACGACGAGAAGCCGCCAAGGAAGTAGTGGGCGTAAAGGAACAGGCCGTCTTAGTTAGGTCGATGGGACGGAGGAAGCCGAGAACCCTGTAGCGGATGATTTCCTTGCCTCCGAACTCTTCCTCCCACTTGCACGTGCGGAGGCGGAAGTACTAGTAGAAGCCCGTGATTTCTTTTCGCTCCAAACAG